TTTTGTTGACCTTTGTCCATGGAAGGTCCCTGCAAAATTTCATTGAAATTGGTTCAGGGGTTTTGGAGAAGAAGTCGAAAATGTAAATTGTTTACGGACGCACGACAGACGACGGACGACGACGGACAAAAGGCGATCGCAATAGGTCACTTGAGACTTTGTCTCAGGTGACCTAAAAAATCTGGACTTTGTCGAAAGTTTGACAATTTGAGAAATTTGTCTGTCTTCAAAAGTTGATCTTCAAAGTTTGAATTATAGATATTAGTAAAAGTGGTAAACATTTTTTCAAATATTGTATAAGGGACATAAAGATAAAAGATGAACAGTGCCGACAGATAATTTGTGTGAGAGAGAGATAACTACTCTGCAAAGTTTATTTCCATAATTTAAAAATGAAGAGCCTCGACTTGAACAAATTTGCTGAAGATAACATAATATATAATAGACAACATATATAGCACCATCGTCTTGTAGTTGACTAACAGTGTCTACCTTTTTTAGGGCTAAATTCTACCTGATCTCTGAACATCAGCAAAACCTTGGATTCTGGTTCAAATTCTTCAACTGTGACTTGCACTGTCCCATATCAATCTTAATATTTACATTTTTCACACTCTTAATATTCGCCTTTTTCGCCCCTCTCTGATGAGGGGAAATTTATCATATACAGTGAACATACCGGAAGTATTAACAAGATAACATGCATATAGTAATTAAATGTGAAGGGTGAAAGTTTGATTGGACAAAAATTGCTGGCTCAGTCCTGATCACACTCTGAGTGAGTGAGTTTAATACTTTAACTTGGTGTGTAAATATTCAGATCTAAATTTGATCTATGCATTTGTGTGAAATTGAGGCGTCATAATCTGTCATAATATGTAATGGCAAAGATTTACTTTATACACAAACAATGAACATATAAAATTATCAAGATACCTGTTCCTACCAGCAGTAGCCTTATCGGTGCAGTGTATACACTCTAAGTCTATCGGTAAGCGAACCGTCATGGTAAGAGTGAAATGAGAAACATGTAATTTTGTCACATCGTTGCACAGGTAAAAAATACAAATTGCGAACTCAGTTATAGTTTGAAAAAGGGACCAGTCAGTCTTGAAATGTTGCGACACGTTTAATACGTACATGGTTTGTGTATAAAGTAAAACTTTGATATGTGTCATAAATGGGGGGCTGCAGACTGGCCAAGTGGTCAAGGCGTTTGCCATCCTGCTACCACTCGCTCTCTACCACTGGGTCGCGGTTTGAGACCTATGTGGGGCAGTCACCAGGTACTGACCGTAGGTCGGTGGTTTTTCTCTCGGAACTCCGGCTTTCCCTCCATCACCAAAACCTGGCACTTCCTTAAATGACCATAGCTGTTAATAGGACATAAAACACAAACAAACCAAACCAATGTGTCATAAATGTGTTACCGCTAGGTATGGTGAGGTCACTTCCGGGAACAGGGAGGGTATTGCCAAGCCAACTCCAAGATTCTGGACTGGACCAGAGGACAGCGCTAGTTGGTCGCGTAGCTGCAGGAGGGACTGTGTTGGGGTCCGGGGGAGGAGTACAGTTTGTGTAAAAACATGTGTATGCCTGCAAATTCACAGGATATGTCTGGTTATTGGATTTCACACTGGGCGAACTTCGCTTTTTTCTTGTTCCTCCATTACTTAAATCCTTCCCTGAAACTGAGTTAGTTAAAAAAACAATTATTAAAAGACAGCGGATGTGTAGTAATAGTGCTGGGAATCGGTCAAATATTCAAGATCGATAATCGAAACTCCATAATCGATCGATAATTGGAACTCCATAATCGATTGATAATCGATTATCAGTTTAAATGACCTATACTCATGTAACATAACAGGCTGGCCAATTTATTATCTGATGTAATTGTGCTAACTGATGAGAAAATACTCGTTTCCGAAATCTAGGCGGAAGGAAGGATTCTATTATATGTCTCTTTTTTTTTACTCAAAACTTGATGATAACTAGGTGTACCCACAGTTTAGGTATTCATTACCCCCATTTGAATACTCCAATCACTATAACATAGCATATTAATAATAATTTATCACGTAAAACACTCTGCTAGCTTCATTTTACAAGCTTTCAAATATGGCAGTTTCGGTTGATACAAAATGCGGATGTATATATATTATACGAAACGAATACAAGGGACGCAACAAAAAGCAATTCCGCTTTTTTATCATATACAATTCCACTTTTATATTAACCACCAAATTTATAATGTCGGTGCAGATGTTGCGTCTGCTCAAGTTAGAAAAGGATTACAATACAATTGAACATAATCAATCTTTCATCAGCAAAATCGATTATTGGATCCGACCCTTTTCAAACTCGATTTAATCGATGTTTCCGATTATCGGTACACCACTAGTATTAAATAGATTCTTTTCTGACCAAAACTAGGATTTTACAATCCTTTGACAGTCAGCTCAGAAATAAAAAACAATGAAATAAAAAATAATGAAATAAAAATCATTTTTAAGAACATATTGTTATAATATTGTGATATGCAGTATATATCAAAACACAATACGTCAGGTCCATGGAAACTTCGATGTCGCCAGAGCTGAAATATATATTGTTTGTCAATATTACCCAGGTCCCTATGTGGGTGCCAATGCAACAGGGGTCGTCATGTTTTCAATGCCTTCGCCAGAAATCAAACCGGGGACGTCTGGTTTACTTGTCTTACACTTTACAGAATGAGATAGACATTCTTCCCAGCCAAGTTGGTAGGGAGCGGCTAGTATATTTTACAAGAGTGACATACTCCCCACCTCCAGAAAAGAACTCGTCCCTAATTTTCCAGAGGTCAAAGCGTTTCCTTGCAAGTATCGCTAGTATTTTTATTTTGTCATATCTACTGTGTCCCCACATCGGCACCAATGTAAAAGATGTAACAATTTTTTTAATACCTCCACCAGGAGTCAAACCCGGGACCTCTGGCTTACTTGTCTCACACTCTACCAAGTGAGCTAAAGAGAAAGACTCCCTAGCCAAGTCGGTAGGAAGCGGCTAGTATCTTACCAGGGTGACGAAAGGAAACTAAGGCAATACACTTAACAATAGTCATTTAACTCATTCACCCCTGAAGACACATTTGAACTCCTCCAATTCAAAGGTTGGAATAGTTCATTATGAAAGTTCAGGGGTAAATGAGTGAATAGGCAATTACTAAAAATCTTAAGTGAATAGTAGTCTTTGCCTAATACCATTTTATTGTACTACTGACCGTACACTGGCCGTATGGGATGTAATTTAGCGGACATTCCTAAATTGCAACCATCAATTGATGCCATAGTAAATGTTGTTAAATTATTTAATTTTAATAAGTTGAAAATACTCAGGAAGAGTTAAGAGCTTAGTCGTTTTTAATTATTTCTTAGTCCTTGGTGATAATTTAACTACTATTAGGTAGTAACCCTTTTTAACCCTTTCATCACTTTAGACCAAGATAGTTAAGACAAAACCCAGCCTACCTTGGGTTACCCCCGACATAAAGAAACTTATCAGGAGAAGAAATAGATTGTACAAACGATCAAAAAAATCAGGAGACACTGAAATAAAAAATAAGTATAAAAACCTGAAACATCATATACAGAGAAAACTCCGAACATCTTACTGGAGCCATATTGATAATATCATCACCCCAGAAAACACAACCAATGCTAACAAATTTTCCAGCAAAAAACGGTTTCGGTCATATATAAAATCCAAAAGATCAGACCATAATGGCATAGCTCCTCTGAAAAAGGACGGTAAACTTGTTTATGACCATACATATAACCACCAAGGCCCAGATGCTAAACGCACAATTGCAATCTGTTTTTACTCTTCCTGAAATCTTTACCGACCAGCAGTTTTGCACTAGATGCAACATGCCTACTCACGATAAATACCCTGCCATGCCTGAAATTTCTATACATGAAAAGGGCGTCTTAAAACTGCTCCAAGGATTAAATCCATACAAGGCCTCGGGCCGTGATGACATCAAACCCAGAGTACTAAAAGAGTTTGCAACAGAAATAGCCCCGATATTAACCCTAATATTTAATCAGTCTGTGGAAACATGCATAGTGCCTTCAGACTGGAAATATGCAAATGTATTACCTGCTTATAAAAAGGGTCCAAAATTTCACCCAGAAAACTACAGGCCCATATCTCTGATCTGTATCTGTAGCAAAATTATGGAACACATTGTGGTCTCAACTATCATGACCCATGCCGATACCCATAACATATTGTATCCGTTCCAACATGGTTTTTGCAAATCGCGATCATGCGAAACCCAACTTCTTGAATTTGTGGATGACATCTCAAAGAATCTTGATGAGGGACGCCAAACAGTTATCCTCATAATGGACTTTGCTAAGGCTTTCGACAAGGTCAGTGTTTCTCTCCTAAACCATAAACAAAAACATTATGGTATACGTGGAAATGTCGCAAACTGGATCGAGAGTTTCCTGACCAGTAGAACTCAGACAGTAGAAGTTGAAGGGGAGAAGTCTGATTTTGTCGATGTCCATTCCGGGGTACCCCAGGGGTCAGTTTTGGGACCCAGTTAATTTCTTGACTAAAAACAAAACTCCAATAGTCAATAATTATACTTTACATGGACACATACTGAAACAACTTCGTCAGGCAAGTATCTGGGTGTAACACTATCATCTGACCTTAAATGGCATTCACATATAAATACTATCTGCCCAAAAGCAAATTCTACGCTAGGCTTTTTAAGACGAAATCTTAAAATTGGCTCAACATCAGCCAAAGTACAGGCATACAAATCATTAGTTTGACCATCACTTGAGTATGCCTGTACAGTATGGGACCCTCACACCCAAACAAATATTGACAAGTTAGAAATGGTCCAGCGAAGGGCAGCACGCTATGTGCTCAATAATTAAGCACAGGTACAACCATCGTACCTCCAGTGTGTCAGAAATGTTGGACCACCTAAAGCTGCACCCTCTAGCAGAAAGACGTAGAGATGCTCGTCTGACCATGCATTCATAACATTGTAAACCAGAAATTCGCTATCGTAAAATCAGACAGATTAATCCCTACAGTTAGAAAATCCCGAACAAACCACCAGTTTTCGTATCAAATTCCCCACTCAAAAACCCAGACCAGAAAGGCATCATTCTTCCCTCGAACTATACCCAAGTGGAATAAACTCCCACCTGACATTATTTCGAGCCCCACAACGGAATTATTCAAATCAGCCCTCTACCGTCACTTTTCAAACGCAAATTAGACCATCTCGTATCTTTTAAAAATAATCTCTTTCCATATTTCACTCCTCGTCTGACATTTTATCTTCAAATTGTTGAAGTTGGTCAGTACCATTTAGAAGTAGAAGTAGAAGACCATAATGGACTCATCCAAATGAATGTATAGTAGAGTCTACTCAAGTTACCTAGGGATGAAAGAGTTAAGTTATACCAAGTCAGAGTTATCTTTGTAAATTAAGAAAATGGTGAACTACCGTATTTTTAAGTAGAAATGACCTGAACAGACATAAAAAGTGGGAAAGGTTGTTTTTTTAATCTCATATCTATAAAATACTTTTTCTGAAATAAAAATCAGTGTTATAAAGAATTAATAAAGGAAATTTGAAAACGATGGTTTTGAAATGTGTAAATGAGATTTTCTTACTCAAGCAGATGACTTACTCAAAATTTCCACTTCCTTTTTGTTATCATTGAAATACCAGCTGCTCCCAGTGATGGCGCTCGTGTCCAGAGGCGTTTCGGAAGGAACAATGAATCCTTTGTCCTCATTGATCTTCAACCGGTCTGGTTTCAGTTTTACTGGCAGAACCAAAATTATGAAGTCGTCAGTCTACAAACAGAAATATTGGTTTTAAAAGACAATAATTATAGTGACAAATGGCTTCAGAAAAGTATAACCATCCAGAACTGAGTAAGAATGTTGTGATATATTTTTCAGAGAATCCCTAATTAGTAGGGCTGCAACGATATATTGTGCAACGATATATCATAATATTTTGAATACTGTGCGATATATGTCTATTTTTGGGAGGTCAAGATACACCTACGATATTTCAGGATTTCGTCATTTCTGAATTTAGTCCCCTCGTATCTGTTGCAACATGGCAAGCGACAGCTCCAGCTTGGCATGCACGTCGAAAAAATGTGAATTAATGATGCGAAACTTTAAAGTCATGCCCATTTTGGACCAAGTCTATTTTCAGTTGTAATATTGCCATTAAAAGTTTGCAACATATCTTTCCTCATTGCTTTGTACTGTGATTATGTGTATCGCGATACGTGTCATATCGTCATGTTAATCTATCGATGCAGCCCTATTAATTAGATATGGGAAGGAACAGTGTTATCTGCTTGATGTTTTGGATTTTCTCCAGATATACTCAGGTTTCACCCAACTTTATGACTCCAATGTACGCTATTATGGCCGAGAAATGTGTTTTTCTTAACTCATTCACCCCTAAAATTTCATAATGAACTATTCCAACTTTTGAATTGGGAGAGTTCAAATGTGTCTTCAGGGTTGAATGAGTTAACCTTGGGAACAGATCTTCCCTCATGGCATACAAAAGTAACTATTAATTGTTGTGGAATATTCAAATTAATCCAATAGACTTTGGTATCAACAAAGAACACACACAGGTCAGCAAGGGCCCTGCCCTGTGCTGGACCATATCCTGAATGGTCTATTTTTAGTAGCATCGACCTCGACTTTGACCGTAATAACTTGAATACCCCTATTGATTGAAATGTCATTTTGCATCAACTAATCTTTCAAAAGATTGGCTTTTTGATTCCAAGTTAAGGACCATAAACCCCATGGTCTATTTTTAGTAACAGTGACCTTTACTTTGACTTTAGAAACTTTTAAAACCCCTATTGCACATCTGCATATCACAGTGCAGTGTATCACCATGTCTAAATTTCAAAAACATTAGGAGATGAAAAAAAGATGCATTAACTCACATTGACATCGTCCATTTGTCCAGTGAAGCTGATATTAGTGACTGGGGCAGAGTTATTAAATGTCATAGTATACGTTTCTCCACTGACGAGTTGTGCTACCCAGCCATTCTTGTTTGTAATTCTTTTATCTTTGAATGGAACTGCAGACACTCCATGAGCATTGGTGAAAAGAACGTCCTTGTACCATGCACTGTTGGGCAATAGATTATTAAAACCGAACCTATGAAATTTGACAGCCGCCTGGCACTTGCTCACTGGTACAAGAGTATTGCCGTATTGGTAATTTCCACAACTGGGTGGAAGAGTTCCTGTGGTGGGTATAACCTTACAGTTCGCACTGCTACACAAGGTGCCATCGAGATCCTCAAGAACTCCCTCAAACAACCACTCATAGCAGACACGTCTTGGAGAATTTATGAAGGTCAGAGCAGCAGTTTTATGGGTGGAACCGACACAATTGTCCCCACATGTTCCATCGATTCTCGCCCAGGAGAAGGCACAACTGTCGCTCCGGTCAAAGTTGACAAATGTCACGTTGTCTATCAGCAGGCCAGGTCCATATGGGATCACAATGCCTCCCTTTGTGCAGTTAGAAGCACCTATCAGTGACGCGTGGCACACAACTAGCGAATCCTTGATTAAGGCCCCATTGGAAGGGACTAATCCCTCTGGTTCGATGAGAATTTTTATCTCGATCTGAGCATTTAGATTCTCTGTAGCATAAAAGTTACTTAACTGGACATAACCGGTGTTTACCATTTCCACACCTTTATCATTATGCCAAGCATTAAACGAACGAAAGTGGGCGGTTTGTTGGTTCGTCGAATCACAACCACCCCCTACTTTTGGTGTGAAAGTAGGGAAAATCCACAGACCAAACCAGCCCAACGAGTGAGCAGTGTTATTGTAGAAGATTCCTAGTGGGACATTCGTGGGGCAGACAGTGGTGGTGAATGATGGACCCTTCGGGTGCTCGTGCATGCTGTACCAGAATCCGAAGTGAGAACCGCCAGCAGCATGGCAGTGCTGGATTGTGTTGTTAGGATTCGTGGCCCAAAAACCTGCTGGAGTGACGTCATCATTTAGCAGACTTGTGCTCTGTTTGACAAATAGAGCAAGATTGTACTGGATAATATTGCCAGTCTCTATGCCGTCCTCCAGGAAGATAGCACCACCCATGATATTGTACACGACGGTGTGTTCAATCAGCACATTGTGTGTAGCATGTATGTTCACCGCACGGTTAAAAGTTTCATGGATACCAACTCCACGGACGTAACTTTTTGATTTGTCGCCAAGGAGATGGAAGTGAATTGGATAGCGTCCTAATCTGAATGCCTGACCCATAAAATCTAACTCCACATATGAAATACGGCCTTTGCTTCCTCCTGAGTCTGGTGTTGGGCTGTGTATGATAATATGCCCGCCAAATTGATCACTGCCAGTTTCTTCACCAAAACGGCCCTGGAAACATGTCTGGGTGGCAAATTCCTCTGTGGACAAAAGACAGGAGGTATCACAAAGGTGGCAGAAATAGACGTATGGTTACTAATCATTGTAAATAAAAAAATAAAAAATACAATTAAGATAAACCTGAATTGTCGCCAAAATAGAAGCTTGTGCCATTAAAGACCTATAAGAACAAGAGGTCAAGAGGGCCTTATCACTCTACTGGATATGTTTAAAGTCATTGATATAAGGTAAATATATAGCACTCTATGATATGTACTGTATGTACATATGAAATTCCAGAAAGATCCATCCAGTACTTCTGGAGATATAGCTAGCACAAACTTCAAATGTCAAAATCAAAGATAGCAATCTGTTGGCCATCTTCTTTTAATCAATAGTAAAAGGTATCACTAGACAACTTGATGGGGACCAAATTGGGATAAAATCCTTTAATCCCTAAGGTAGAAGAAGGATTTCAAAGGTTTTACCTCTATTTCCCCTATTGGGCCCTGCCCCTCTGCCCTCAGGGGGTTCAAACAAAATATACAAAATTGAGTGCCCTTGGGGCACACCAACCATTTCTACAAAATTGAATCCCCATGGCCCAAGGATGCTACATACAAAATTAGGATAAAATCCCTTTATTCCTATGGTAGAATCCCTATGGTAGAATTTATCAATTTTACCCCTATTTTCCTGTTGAGCCCTGCTCTTCTGCCCTGAGGGAAACCACACCCAATGTTTATGCAATATTGAGTGCCCTTGGCCTAAGGATGCTTCAGACCAAATTTAGTCAAAATCTACCAGGCCGTTCTGGACAAGTAGCTATTTTAGGAAGTGTTGACAGACAGACAATTGACACAGCGCCTTCAGCCTTCGAAATGATAACCGGTTTATGGGCATCGTGTGAGACGGGTAGTGCATCATACTCGTGACCATGCAAGTACCTGGGTACATTCTAAAATGTCGGCGCTGAATGCCTAAGACAGGAAAGCCAAAAGATACAGTCACTGGGGAACATCTCAAAACCAGATTATTTTTTTTTAAATTTAAATCTCAATTAAGAGTCTTTTAACAAGCATTAAATTTGTCAGCTTTAGTAAAAGTTGTGATAGACAAGCTGAAAAGGCAGCTTACATGAAATAGTATTAACAGAACTAACCTCTGTCAAATAAAACACTTATCAACTTTGAACTTACCGACATTGAAGCCGTCCGGACACGCCTCAATTTTTTCAGACCACTCTCCATTCCTGCTGCCCTGAACTTTAACATTGTGTGTTAGAAGTCCCACTTCTGCTTTAATGTCGACAGCGTATGTATTTGAACCAGTTCCAAATGTTTTTGTCACACCACTGTGGGTATATTTGAGATTAGAGTCCAAGGTCAAGGTCCTTTTATCATCAGAAATGTCTTTGATGGTTTTCTGTTCAGTTTCAATCTGAGATTTGGAGTTTCCAGTTGTTGCTATGACGATCGTGTCGCCAATATTCCAATCAACAGCTTTTTCAAGATTTATGGAATCGGTGTCAGCAGCAGCAGTTTCTGCGAGCATGGTCCAGGTGATTAACGTTGGTTTACCTTTAATAGTTAAAATACAACATGTCACATATCTGAAAAATATTTAGAATGTTTGAAATATCAACAAAACATTTCTTCCATGCCCAATCACTTTTTGTTTAGAAATAATCAAATACTGTTCTAGTGGGAACTTTTTCAGTTTGGAAATGTTCACATTTTTCGTGCCGAGTAAATTAACACTTAAATATCCACATGCCAAAATGTATGTAGATTTCAGAACTGCTCTAAAATTTCCCCATCAGGATAGGTTTTAAAGGTAAAAAAACCCAAACATTTCCTCACACAATTTTTTTTCACTTTTATAATCCCAGATCAGAACTCAATTCTGGCCGCCTAGGTGAAAGGCAAGTGTGCTATCTGCTGCACCATGCGACTAGTAACCCTTTGATACTACACATGCACTGGTGTAATGTACAGGTACAGGACCTATATAATCATATTTGATACACAGACAATTCAGATTATCGTTTTTACCATGGAGATCCAGGGTGCCCTCCCGAACGGCCAGCACCTTGGTACCATATATGGGGAGCTCTTTACTGCGTACATGTCCATGTAGTGTGATATTCATTTTGTGAGAAAAGGGGTTTTCCTCCGTTCCCACCTAGTGGCCAAAAACAAACACATGTGTTATAATTCGTCTAATTCTGTGACAGTACTTCATAGCACTGCCCTTTACAGTACAGTTGCACCTTCAAAAGTTAGCATCATTCGTTTTGAAAATCCATTTTTATTTTTTTTCTTCGTCTAACAACTTTTGTATGCCTCAATATATATCTTGTCGTAATAAATAGCAATTACTTCCAATAAATGCCATTGTGATATTCTCAACATGCAAAATAATCCCTTTGGACTGCATCAGTTAACCCTTTTACCCCTATGTAACTTTAGTTGTCTCTACCGTACGTTGATGCATTTGGAGCTGTTTCCCTTATAGTTATCTATATCGTACACAAGTACCTTTTTTGCTGTTTTCCAAATTTTGCCTCTGCAATGAGGATGAGGGCTTAATTCATCATGATAGTGAACAATAACTCATTCACCCCTGACATTTCATAATGAACAATTCCAACCTTTGAATTGGAAGGGTTCAAATGTGTCTTCAGGGGTGAATGAGTTAATAGTTCGTAGTATTGTAGTTACATTGAGAATACTAATTTACCTGTGAAGGGCAATTTTTTTTTATTTGACTCGGCAAAAGTTTCCTGGTACCGAGTACATTCGCTCATTCAGCGTTCAACTGTTTGCTAACATAAGTGTATAAATCTTTCAGAAAGAAAAGAGAAGGGTGGCACAGTAAGATAGCATACAGCTGCCTTAACTGAAACACCATTTTATACATCTTACAGAAGTTTTCGGGAATTAATGAAGAACAATTTAACTGAAGGAGGAAATAAGACCATTGTTTCCGACTTGTAAAGTACAGCAGGAAGTGTGGAAATCTTTCAGAAAAGAAAAAGATATCACAGTAAGTTATAGCATATATACAGCCTTAACTGAAACACATGTTATTCAACTTACATAATTTTTCGGGAAATATTTAAAAATCAATTTACCTGAAGTAGACCACCATCGGTGATAAGGATAATTTCTGCATTCAATTCCAAATCTTGGCTATCATCCACTATGACTTGTCCTCCCTGAATAAGAAGTATTTTGAGGATGGCAGTGGTTGTGTCTAAATAGATAGTCTGACCAGGCTGGATGATGACAAAATCTCCGTCCCCGGGCAGTGGTCCACCGCCCCATGTATATACAGATGACCAGAAGTCTACATAGTGGAACTCTTCTGCTCCTACCTGTTACAAAAACCACAAATGTTGTGTCAAATTAAAACAGGAAAAAACCATTGTGTTTTACTCAACATGGAGAACAATACAAGTGTAAATGATTTATACGCAAGTAACTCATTAAATCAAACACGATAGAGTTAAATATGTTAACGCTGACAAGTCAATAACTCAAACACTGAATCAATGCAACAAATAAGGAAAAGTCAATATTTAACTGAAACTTGATTGAGTCAATTAATTATGTTATCACTGACAAGTCAATAACTCAAACACTGAATCAATGCTACAAATAAGGAAAAGTCAATATTTAACTGAAATATGATTGAGTCAATTAATTATGTTATCACTGACAAGTCAATAATTCAAACACTGA